CTCAGCCTTCGGTTCATTGTTCACCTTTTCAGAGCTGTAACTCCCCTGCCAGTTTCGGTTTTTGTTGCTGGGGAATCTCTTCTTTATGAACCTCTTGGGATTGGACACCATCATGGCATAATCCTCAGACGTGAGATCATATTCCTCCAAGTTGAGGTCTTCATCCTCCATCACAGCTTTACTTTTAGATAGGAGGGCCAACGAACCAAGACTAGAAACGACGTTCTTTTCTTGCACCACAATCTTCTCTTGGGACTTAAGAATACCCACCAGTTTCGCCAAAGAGTATGATTTAAACTGCTCATGGGCTTTGACTGTGGAAACTACTGCTCTCCATTCAGACCTCAATCCGTTCAAGAAAGTAACCTTCTGTTCGATAAGCTTCCTTTCAATATCGTGTTTGATCATCTTGCTGAGAAGATGATTGAAGCGATCAAACGTCTGGGTCACCGTTTCTTCGGCTCCTTGCCTGAATTCTCCAAACTCAGATAAAAGCAAAGTTTGAATAGAATGTTCAAGATCCTCGTCTGTAGAAGTACAGTTCACGAAGTCTATCCCAAACTTCCTTTGCCGTCGTGCATGAGCTGACCAACCTGAATGTGTCGGACTGAAGGGCGAATCTGATCAACCTTAACGCCTTAATATTGCACTGGAATTTATCCTTTTCATCTTGTGCAATATCCTTCACGTCCTTTAGCAGATCATTGTACTCCTTTTGTGTCTTGATGATTCTGGACGATGCAGAATGAGAAAACGGTCCATTGGTGATGGCTTCCCATATGAGGTACCCATTATCCTCCGATCCAATCACGTAGTCTTCAAAGTGATGCGCCCATACTTCATAGTCATGGGTGTATAAGATTGGAATCTTTGTCGTTGAACCGATGCTGTTGGAAATATTAATAAGGTTTGATTGCGTCGCGTCCATTATGATCGTAAAAACCTGTTCAAAGATCAGACTTGTAATAAAGCAGATTAGGGCAAAACAATAAATATCAAGATACGTCAATAAAGAGATGACGGCTCAATAAATATTGATAATTGCGGAAAAACCCTAATGGAAATCTTTTTCACAGAAAAGATGTGTATAGATTACACAGCCTCCTGCTCTGATACCAATTGATGAGATTAAACTAACCTTTAATCTATAAAGATCGATTAGATCTTGAACAAGTATATAAACATAAACAATATGAACGCAATAATAAGAATAAGTCAAGATGGAATCAAACGTGTCGAATGATTAAACAAAATCCTCAGAAGAGCTCTATTAAGAACATCAACTGTAGAGGATTGGAAGGTTACAAGAACGATTAAAGAAACCTGTTATCGTCTAGATGAATCGCTATTTTGTAGATCTCTAAAAACCTTAACCTAATATGCAAGCAAGCGTAAACTTATATACAAAACATAAAAGGTTCACGGCTGGACAGGCCCAAACCGGAATACAAAATAACTTATGCTTATCGAGCCCAAAAGACGCAATCTTCAAAAATAATCTCTAGCCCAACAAAAACATTACTAGGGTTTTTGAATTTAACATTCCTAATTAAACTTTTAATCAACTTCTAAATTCCAAAACTTGAGGGCAAGTTTTGAAACATTTCAAAAACATTAGGGTTTAGAATTTAAATATACATCAAAATTAAACTTTTAATCAAAATTTAAATTCCAAAACTTGAAGGGCAAGTTTTGAAACATTTCAAAACATTAGGGTTTCAACTATTTAAATTTCAAAACAACAAAACTTTTGGGTTCAAATTTAAACTGTAAAACCTAAAGGGGAAAATATGAAACTTTTCATAACAACAATGATCAAATAAAAAATAATTTAAATTAACATTTAATCACATAATTATCCATATTTGATTTATTTAATGATTTCTTGCAAAACATTTTACCAAATTAATCAATTATCACATAAGGAAACAAATATTTTATTAATTGATAAATATCTTCAATTAGATCAAGAATATAGTCAAATATATCATAAAATCGGATTTATATTGATCTAATATGATAAGGCAACTATCCTTAAGCAAAAACAGCAAAAAATCCCGAAGTTTGCTCCATCTGACGAGTTGACTCGTCGAGTCAAGCATGCACTCGTCGAGTCAGCATGGACTCGGCGAGTTCAACTATGGACTCGGCGAGTCCAGCCCCCAGAAACACACAAAACAAAATTTTCAAACATATAATGCATCAATACAATAGAAACCAATCTAGGCTCTGATACCACTGTGGGTTTTGGTCATAAGAACATCCTATGTGCTCATACAAACCCTAATGCTTGGATCTAGGTTTCTCTATTGTACATGCAAGTTATCCAATACTATAAACCCTAATTCTAGCATACGAGTAATCATATTAACATGAGAATAGGTTTAAGATCATACCTTGATAGTTATGTAGCAATAACAATCCCAAATCTCCTTGTATTGACTTTAGAAAGCTTAGAGTCACAAATGTCACTCCTCTAATGGTTCACAAATACCATAAGCAAGAGAATGAAGAGGAGATAGAATGGAGGCTGCCCAAAACGTGTTCTAACCCTAGAAGAAAAGTTCCCCACGTTTTTTGAGCCTTAAGGGTTCTATATATAGTGAGGCTATTAGGGTTCTCTAACAAGGAAACCCTAATTTGGATGCTTAAGCCCTAAGCAACCCATAGACTCCTTTAATTAAGGCCTTGGACGATTTCCTTATGGGCTTCCCCATAGAATTCTTCCACTCCTTAATTTAAGACAATCCATAGCCCAAATTGCAATTGTCTTATAATTACAATTCCAGTCCCTTAAGTTTAATTAATCTCTTTTAGTCACAAAACTAATTACTAATTAATTCTTGACTAATATTAATTAAACAATATGATTTCTCCTTTAATATATTATTCTCATAATATATTAATAAATCATATTTAATCCTTTCTCTCCATAATTCATCCTATCAAGTTGCTTTGGTGAAGGCAACCCAAAAGGAGCATGCACCATCGGGTCAAGTACATACCAAAATAGTTATGGACTTAGACACTAATCCAACACTTTATCACAGATCTTTCAGAACGAATGAAGAGGAAAATGTTTGCAGATTCTAGGACCAGGTATAAATTTCTAATCTTTGAATTTCAATTAAAAAAAAAGCCAGTTAAGATGTCCCTAGAAGCATGCTGCTGCATGTTGTCTGAAGCCTTGAATTGAGTCAATGTTTGAAAGCCTTAATGAAAATTTTCATACGAAGATTTCCACCCAATAAGGCTTATATTCACATTAGTCCAATGAGCTACCTTACTCTTCTCATGAGTTAAGTGTTTTTTGTTTGGTCCAAATATAACAGAGGTACCCTTCAGATCTTTACTAATCTTTTCATCTAAAATTTCTTTCACGATCACACGAAGACATATATCCAAGAGGTCTCTGATCAAACCAATCGATACTTAGACATATCAACAATCTGTATTAATGATCTGACATCATGAGACCATGATGAAAGTGAAACCCAAAGTTCTTACAAATTAAGGAATTGACGGGGAACTATGTTCCAGACTTTACAAAACTTTTGTTTCAATACCCATTTTCAAAACTCCAAATCATATTCATTTCATATGAGTGATCTTGATCAAACATTCAAAAGCCACGATGTTTGTTACCCAACAAGATCCAGGACAAAAAAAATTTCATGAATATGATTTCCGTGTGATTTTACTTCGAATCCCAAACTTACATTTAATATTTTTCAAAGCACACTTGTCACTGACTACACTGGTCAAACAAGTAATTTTTGTTATAGTTACTCACCTTATGTTAAGGTTGATATGTAACGAAATTCGTATGCCACCCATTGAAACCTTGAAAAAGAAACCCTTCGATACTTATTTACAAGTATTCGATTGTAATTCATGGGAAACTACACAAGCTGTTGATTATCTCTCATGATAATTAACGAAGAAATTTTTTCCCGGGATTTCATCTGCCTTCGTTTCAAATTGTAGGTTTAACATCACTACATATCCAAAATTTTTGTTTTACTTTGCTTCTTATATTTATTTTGTTGACCCACTGCACTTACGGAATCCTTGAGGTTCTGAGTAACACCAACTCAGGCTGATGATTTCAAACATTTGGCATATGACTTCGCTTTTCATCCCAAAAGTGAAAGAGCCTAACTTCCATCCGAAGGGTTCTGACGGCTACAATTCCATTGGGTCAATAAATATAGGTTGTTTGAGGAGACGTTTTATATTACTTCCAGTTTTCAAGGCGATGTGAAAGTTACTTTTTGATGCATGGTTACTTTATCATCATCATGATGCGCTTTTGTCGGTGACACATTAGCAAACATTAAATGCATATCTCGCTTTGATTTCAAATTGAAGAGTTACATATAAAAGGGGATTCAAGGGTTCATTATCAGTTTACGCTTTCATATTACTAAAGTTTATCAGATAATCATCTGCTTTCAAATCCTAAAAATGGCAACTGCAAATCCTGATGCTACTCTTTCTCACACAAATGATGATGTTACTTCTCTGCCGATCATGAAGATTCAGGGTACTAATTACCAAGTTGAATCAAATGTTTCTCTGTATCCTGAAGAATTGAAAATTCTAGTGGTTGCTTTGCAAAACTCGGTATTATCAAAGGCCATGTTCAACTCATTCTCTGTTCCTCTTTCTTGGTTATCTCAAGCCGGTTCAAATGCAACTTATTCAAAAGCTTTGGAAGCTGTTACATTCAACCTTATCAATGATAAAAAGGTTGGGTTATCAAAGAAGCTTTTCTGCCAAATCCTTGCTATACCGAATTCACCACCATATGTTACTTTTACCTTTCCACAAATCGTACACATGTTCAATGAAATGGGTCATCAACCCCAATTGACAAAGATTAGTGACTTCAAGAAGTCAGGGTTACCAAGTGTATGGAATTTTCTATTTGGAATTTTTCTTCGATGTTTAACTGGCAGAACAGTTGGGCTAGATAAGGGAAGAATGGAGGTGACGCCATGGTTGTTGGTCTATACTATGATCTTCAGGTTGATTACTCAACACAACTGTGGAAGGAGTTTCAGAAGAGTATCGAAAACACTAATGCTATTCATGGCAGTTCGTGTGCTCGATATTGGAGTCTAATTTTGCAGCATTTCTATGAAAAAGAAGGGATTTTAGTTCCAGCGGAAGAGGAGAAGGCTGTGTTTCACACTTATAATTATCCGAAGGATGCAACAGATGATTTAGATGTATTTCCTTTTGCTGCTCGTATCCCTGACGCCATGTTAAAAAGAATTGATCCTTCAAACCCAATCTTAATTTCTTACTTAGAATCCATAGATACTTCTGTGGAAACTGGGATTCTCTTACCACAGACAATTGAAAGAAGTCAAAGAAGGCGAAGAAGACTGATGATGGGTCTTCGGGTACAAAGGTTAAGTCATCAAAGAGTACGAAGCAGGTTCCTGTGATCGAACTTGAGCCAATTCAGCTGGAGCCTATTATTCCTGATACCCAGGTAACTGAAAAGGAAGTCATTCCTTCGAAGATTGGTGGATTGAGACGAATCAAGATGAAGTCGAAGCACAAGCGTAGATCATCTAATATGAATGTTGTTCGTAAACCCCAAGTTTCTCATCAAGGGGTGATTTTTAGAGAAATACCTGCCCCAGCTTCTCCTTCTTCGAAAAAGTGATTGGCTGTTGATATGGCAAAACAACTATCAAAGAAGACAAAGTGAAGGGTGATTCTTACCTTAGAATCTACTGTAGAAGAGGGTGAAACTATTCCCGATACACGTGAGACAACTTTGATTAAACATTCTTCTCATGTGGATACATATGTTATTACACCAACCGAAGTTTCGCTTGCCAATATAGTTACTGTGGAGGCTCAAACTTCAGACATTCCTATAAACATATTTGATATGGATAAAAATGTCATTATGGGTGAGGACGATTCGAATAAAGCAACAAAAGGTAACCCTTCGAATGTGGTTTCAAATTCTTTCATTTCTTTACCTTCACAGATTACCCTTATCATTCCTACAACATCCACAATAGATTCTCCAACTTTTGCAAACATTATTTCACAACCTTTTACCACTCCTTTTCCTTCACAATCAACTGATCCACAAAGCACTACTTTCCAATAAAAGATTCATTCATGGATACTGAAAATGAATCTGAAGGTTTTGGGGGAACTTTTGAGAATCTGGAATTTGATGAGGAGGAAACTGACTTCCCGGATCATATGCTCATGACGATGAAACAATTCAAAATCTTGAATATGAAGCTTAACTCTATTATTAAATCTCAAGCTATCTTGGGGGTGGTCATTCTGTATCTAGCCTTGAAGTTGATGGTATGCTGACATTACTTGAAGGGAGATTAACCACAAAAGTATCTAGAATGCTGAAAGGTTTAGAGTGTAGGTTATTGGAGAAGATTGATCATTCTGATCAAAATAATGAATTAAGAGTGAATTCTTAGAAATCTGGATTTGCATCTGACTTGAAAGATTTGAAGATAGTTGCAAAAGAGAGGCATGTGATGTTTGTCCTGGATGTAAAGAAGGTGAGAGAAGATGTAAATTTTAAACTTCAGGAGTTACGAGAGGATATGGAGAAAGAAATTTCTATTGTTTGAACGGAGTTTGATTCCATCAACAAGAAAGTGGACATAATTTGTGAGGCAGTAACAAAGTTTGCAAACCTATACGAAAGTCTGGGCCCTCAGATATCTCAACTTTCAACCAATGACAACAAAAATTTCTTGGAGGTGTTCGAACTTTTGAAAGAGCTTAAAAGACTATCTTCCAAGTCTACTGCGTCTATGCTATCTTCGGAAGATCTGATTCAGAAATTTTCCAAATTTGAAGAGTTACTTTTCCAACAACTAGCTCCTTTGTCACGCATCTCCAGTCTTCTCCCAACTACTTATGCCCCACCTGCTAGCATAGGGGTTTTGATCTTACAATATTTTTATGAGAAGGAAGGAATTTTGGTTCCGGCAGACGAAGAAAAGGTTTTGTTTCATGTTTATAGTTGTCCGAAGGATGCAGCTGATGATACTGATGAATTTCCATTTATTGCTCGCATTACGGATGCTATGTTGAAAAGAGTTTATCCAATAAACACCATTCTTATTACTTACTTACAAAAAATTGATACTTCTATTGAAACCGGGGTTCTTTTGGCCAGAGAAGAACAAAAGAAGACAACACGTTCGAAGAAGGTTGTTGCTGAATCTTCTAAGAAATCTGTCAAAGAATTTACATCAACAAAGAGTCCAAAGAAAGTACAAATCCCAGAAGCTGAGCCAATCCAACCAGAAATTGTTGTTGCTGATACCCCTTCAACTCAAAAGGAAATCATTCCTACGAAGACTGGGGTTTTTCGCAGAATCAAGATGCATTCTAAGCATAAGAGTCAATCACCTTTAACCAATGTTGTTCGCAAATCATAGGTTTCGCATCAAGGAGTCATTTTTCATGAGATTCCAGCCCCTGCTTCACCGTCTTCTAAGAAGAGAAGGGAAACAGACAAAGCCAAATACATATCTAAGAAGAAGAAGAAGGGTAGAGTGAATATTTCGTCAGAGTCTACTGCTGATGAAAACGAAACAATTCCAAAGACACTGGAAGCTGATCTTTAGAAAGATGATGTAATACCACCCAAAGTTTCGATTGCCAAGACAGTTTCTATGGAGGCACAAACTTCTGACATATTTGTAAACATATCTAATATGGATGCAAGTGTCACAATGGGTGAGGATGCTTCGCATGTTGCAGACAAAGGTAAATCTTCAGATGTTACTCCATATATAACTGTTTCTTTACCTTCATAGGTTACACCTATCATTCCTACTACATCCACAACCGATTCTCCTACCTTTGCAAACATTACCCAACAACCATTCACATCTCTGTTTTCTTCACAATCAACTAATCCACCTACCACTACTTCACCAATCAAAGATTCTTCTTTCATGGAAACAGAACACGGGTCCGAAGATTTTGGCGGAACCTTTGAAAATCTAGAGTTTGATGAAGAAGATACTAACTTCCCAGATCATATGCTCATGATAATGAAACAGTTTAAGATATTGAATACAAAACTCAATTCAGTTCTTCAGTACCAGGCTGATCTTAGGGGAGGTAATTCAGTAACAAGTCTTGAAGTGGATGGAATGTTGAAGAGAAGTGTCCGGAATGATTAAGGATTTTGAGTCTTGTCTTCTCGAGAAAATTGATATTTGTGAACAGAATAATGAGCTGGGGGTCAATGGTCAGAAATCTACATTTAATGGTGATCTGAAGGAGTTAAAGTCAGTTGCAAAGGAAAGACATATTTTCTTATTCAGAATGTGAAGAAGGTGAGAGAAGACGTGAATTATAAACTCCAAGAGCTGAGACAAGATATGGAGAAAGAGATTGCAAATGTTTGTACTGAATTTGCATCTCTGAATCAAAAGGTGGATATCATATGTGATGCTGTTACCAAATTTGCAAATTTGTACGAAAGACTGAGTCCTGAAATTGCTCAACTTTCTACAACTGAGAACAAAATTTTCATGGAGGTTTTCTCATTGCTTAAGGAGCTTAAAACTTTATCTTCTGCACATGCTTCATCTTCTCTACTCTCCTCTGCAGATCTTATCAACAAATTTTCTCAATTCGAAGCCTTACTTATTCAGCAGTTGGCTCCTCTTTCCAGAATATCTAGCCTTCTTCCTACCATGGATGCCCCATCCTGCTAGCACATGGGTGCAAGGGGGAGAAAAAAACTGAAGCTTCGAAGGCTAGTGGTGAAGATGTGAAGGTTGTAGGAAAGGTGTTTCCTTCCAAAATCCCAACATCAAAACTAGTGATAGCAACTGTTGGTCCTATCACTTCAACAATAGTTACATCTGTACCAATTACAAGACCAATTTCTAAAGGAATTATGATTGGTAAGTCTATTGACACTGGTAGAAGAGAAGTGATAGAGGAATCTGGTTCAAAGGCAAGGGGAAAGTCAATATTAATCGAAAAATCTAAAAAAGAGAAGAAGGCAAAGGCTGAAGCAGAAGTAGAAAAGATGAGGATGATTCAAAGCATCATGACTCAAGGGGCTAGTGATCCTCCTGGCATGAACAAGGGTGATCCATCAAAGAACTACAACTATGAAACAATTAAAGCCAAGGTTGCATTCAATCATATGTATTCGTTTGAGAAGAAGCCCAAACAGAGTTATATTATCACGAATACAGATGCAAGCCAATTGGACTTTCCAAGTAATGAAATGATGTTCATCATGCCTCAATTTAAAGATGAAAGTAAATTCAAGGAGAAGGATGAAGGCACACAAATGAAGATAAGATTTCACGCGGTTCTTGCCAAACCTGCAAAAGAAGTGTGGTCCTTAGTCAAGATTAAAAAGGTCATAAGTATAAATAAGGATGTGGTTTTCAAAAACACAGTCCAAAACATGAAATATATTGTGACCAACGCAAATGGCAATGTGTGTGAGTTTACAATAGCAGACTTTCCTTTGATGAATACAAGTTGCATTACTACTGAAGGAAAGATCATTTTCATATCTTCAAAACACAGAGCCTAATGAGTATAAGTTGGGAGTTACTCACATCAAGAATTTTATCGAAAATTATTACGAATGTTTGGCAATGACTGATGTGGAGTTGGCTACAGCTAAAGATCTGGAAATTACAGCGCCAATGGCTCCTTCGAAGAATCAAGAAAACTTGAAGAAATATGCAGATAGTGAAATACGCTTGAAGCCTTTTGGCTTGGTCTTCTCTGGGAAGGATAAGTCAGGAAAGTGAAAGAGATTTTTGTTCCAGGCAAGTGAAGTTGAAAGATATTCTACTTCGCAATATACGAACTTGATTGTTCGTATGAACCATTGCAAGAAGAATAATGAAGGTGACAAGAAGGAACTAAAGAAGATTATCTCTTGGTATACTAATATAAAAAGAGTAATGTTGTACTCCATTCAACTACTTACAAACTGAAGTCTTCAACTCTGTTTACAAAGGGGAGAATTTAAGGGTAGTTTGGTTGTAAAGAGTCGAATTCTTATATGTACTCTTCATATGTTTTGTTATCTATTTTACTAAGCATTTTATACGAAGCTTTGATGTCTAGTCCTTAGTATATTTTTTGTACGCTTTTACTCTCCTATATATAAGAGTCTTTACTAGAGTTAGATAAGGTCTTTACAGTCTTGTCTACTTTTGCACTCTGTAAATCTAAAGCGTAATATTGAGTTGAATCAAGATCTTATTTACATCAGTTTTCAATCTTTCATACAATTTCTGATTACATACTCTGATTAATATTTAAACTCGATTCTTTGATTCTACATAATTCATTTAAGCCACATAATTAAGCAATTAAGCATAAAACACATAATACTCAAATAATACATTCTTATTATTTTAAAATGGGTTACAAAGGTTAACCTAGACTTAATACATTGCTATTAATGACAAGCCCAGAAACACATGCGTTACATATAGTCTCAGCCCATTGGGGCGCGGGCCTTGGAAGTGTTGCAGATGGATAAGAGCAAGGTGTGGATTGTAAACTTCGGGTTCGAAGTCGGTTCCATCTTAGTCTTCTTCCTCTTCACTGTCTACTGACTCTTCCTCTTCCATGGGCTCTTCGTCCTCCATGGGTTCTTCTTCAAGATTTTCCTCTGGGTATTCCTCAATCCAACCGGCATTCCCTTGGTTGGGGAAATAGGGGTCACCCGGCAAGTGAAATTCTGCCATTGCGCCTGTACGAGAATAGGGATAAGAAGTATGTCATGACAAATTTTGGTATAAGAAGTTAGTTATCGCAATTTATAATGTGATTATTACGGTTTTTGTGTTAAAATACTCCTATAGTATTTTTATGTTTGATTCTCGACGTTTTTGGTAAGTTGAAGACTTGTTGCTCATCATGATTCTTCTTCGGCATACGTTGGTCATACCTTGGCTAAATATAGTTGATCGGACTATATTTATCCAAGATCTAACTACATACCCCGAAGTTGGATCATGATGTCCAACTTGTCTTAATACTTTTATGTTATTGTCATTATGATACTGAACTAGTGAGTGCGATTGTATGAATACTTTTATAAAAATACGAATTTTTTTATTTTTAAAAGTAGTTTTGAAAAGCTACATTAGAGAATTTTTGTCCCATGATATTTATAGTTTGTATATCTTACGTGGTTCGATATACTTAGTTCACTATAAACAAAGCTCTGATACCAATCTGTCACATCCATAAACTAGAATGGCGGAAACGTTCGGGGGCGGATGACATCATGTTCAGTATCATAACCATAGTGAAGAATGTAAACACAACCATCATACATATAATTTAAAAGGTTACATCGTTGCAAAAATACATGTTTCCAAATAAATTACATATGATGTCAAAATAGTTCAAAAGAAATCTGTGCCTTAGCGTCTTGCCTTCAAAAAGCTTGTGGTTACTTGTATTCGTGATTACCTGAGAATACAAGTTGTTTTTGAAAGAGTATCAACATTAAAGTTGGTGAGTTCATAAGCAATTTATGAATGAAAAATGAATGTTATTCCTTAAAGTTTGTTACAAGTTTCTTTCCAGAAAATCCAATATTTTCTAAAAGGTTTATTGTAGTCTTAACTGAAACCAAGACTTAGTATATGTATGTAAATTTGTCATACTTATGTGTGGTTTTATATTTAAATAAAAATCTTTTTTGTGAAATCATTAATTTCCCGTGAACTGTGTGTTTTGTTAATTCCCCATGTGAGTTGTTATAACCATGCTAAGACTCGAAGACCTCGTACTCGATGATCTTCAAGCTTCGAAACGTTATGACACTTGTCACCCCAGACCTGTCGGTCTAGCTGTTGTAAGCAGCTTAGGTGCGGGTTGTCAAACCCAATATAGATCTATACACAACTATCACGCTCTCCTTACAAGTGATTATGGCTATAACTACAGGACTTTTCTGTTGTACTTAAGAGTAATTCGAAGATGAATGTCTCACAAATTTATTCATTAACATGTTCACGAATTTTGTAATAAAATACCCGCTTTGTAAATCAATTTGTATTACCTTTTCTTTGTTAAATGAGGTGCCTAAACTATACCTATTATAGTTTATCAAAATGTTTTATGTTGCAACTGAAACCTTGTTATGCATGACCTTGTATTTCAAATAAAGACATTGAAAATGCTAAGTATAAAATCTTACACACCTTGCTCAGCATGTTACAAGGTGTGAATAACTCTTAGACTCGTTTTAACAGTTTTACCCTTAAATATCACTGTTTTAGAATATTTATAGAAACATCACCGTAAGTCAAAAACTGAATCCGTAAACTCATAGAGTTTGGAAAAAGAGTCTATTGTGTTCATAAATTTTCCTATATTTTTTTGTGGTCTCAAACCAGTGTGAAAATGTTCATCTTCACAACCTGGTCCGATTTCGTTGCTACAGTGACAGGCAGTTTTGTAAAAGTCACCATAAGTTATAGAAAAATCGTATGGAGATGTGCAAGTATTCATTTTAAAGGTATAAACCTGAACCATTTTCATATTGAACAATTTTGAAAAAATATTAAGTTTAAGCTGGGTAAAACAGCTCGTGAAACGGTCACAACTTTTT